GTACATTTTTATTCGTACTGACGTCCCTTTGCCTGGGGCCGCTGCTTTTTGTTTTGTGCGAGCAGGTACAGGCAGGGACTCTAATCGACCCACCCGCTAGGATTCAGGTTCAGCTGTGAGTTGGTAAGCTCCATCTTATCTTGGGACTATAAGAGGATGTTTACTTTTGTTGTACAGTTTGGGTATAGTGGGGGCCTTGTCCCGACAGTGCTTATGTCACTCATAGAGTCTATTATGGACACAATATTCTGGGTTTTCTTTTTTGTATGTTTCAACCTCCAGCCAATAGTGTTGGCATGTATATATATGTGTGTGTGTAAGTAGGTATGGTTTCGGTTGTGGCCTCATTGGCTAGATAGTACATTTTTTTTTTTTGGTTTGTCTGCCATTGTTTGTATGACTATTCTCTTTCAGGTCATGTCCTCTGGGTCCAGGCTTCACTTTTTAGAGGTTGTGTTGCCCAATCCTTTTGCCTCACAAATTTGGTTTAGCTAATATGTTTCAGTGGGTAACTCAATGTATTAGGGTATCAAGTGCCAGTTACACCCCCTATTTCGAGGCGTGACAAACTTGGTATCAAAGCAGGTCGTATCCCGGGGGGTCCACAAGTCATATCTAGTAGAGTTTTGTTTATGGGTGTGTTGTGCACCACACTTATAATCAAGAGGCTACAGGGAATTTAGGAATGGTTACATTTCATTAAATTGATAGATCGTGCTATACTGCAAAAGTATAAGAACATTTGAAATCTAAGTCGTGCTTTATGTTTCTTATCTAACAGGCTACACTCTCCCGGTTATGGCAGATCGATAGAAAAGTATGGATCCAAGGGAAGGTACTAGCCGTTCCCCACCGAGTCAAAGAGATAGATTTCCCTCGGAGGCACGGGGTGGATCTCCAGTACCCATAGTACCAGCCTCCCCGACACCTATTGAAGTCCGAGGAGATGCAGTACCCCCAGCCTCATCAGTTCCATTGGCACCTGAGGAAGCTACGGACACAGGACCTCCAGTACCTATTATTTCTCCACCAGAGATCTCTGGGGAGTAGGGGATGAGAGAGGCAGTTCAGTTGCTGACTAGGGTGGTTTCTATTCATGAGCGACAACTAGAGTCAAGACTAGATATTCAGAGAGACCGGTCGGAAAGTTTGAAGGTACGAGAGTTTCTTCATTTTTCCCCTCCGTTATTTACAGGATCTAGTCATACTGAGGATCCCCAGGACTATATAGAACACATATATAGAGTATTGAGGGTGATGCATGCCTCCGTCACAGAGGCTGTGGAGTTGGCTTCTTTTCGGCTACGTAATGTAGCCATCATTTGGTATGAGGCATGGGAGAGATCTAGAGGACTTGATGCTCCGCCAGCAGAGTGGGAGGACTTCTCTGAGGTCTTCCTTTCCCACTATTTGCCACGGGAAGTTCGAGAGGCCCGTCTTGACCAGTTTATCAATCTGAAGCAAGGAACCATGAGTGTGAGAGATTATAGCCATATGTTTAATTCTTTGGCAAGATATGCACCAGATATTGTACGTACCATGAAAGCCAGAGTTCATCGTTATGTTGATGGTTTGGCAGATCATTTGATCAGAGATTGTAGGGTAGCATCCCTATCAGATGATGTAGATATTTCCCGTATTCAAGTTTTCGCTCAGACTATAGAGGACCTTTCTAAACGGTTTCGTGATACCCACAGGGATAGGGAGCAGAGTAAGAGGGCCCGTACTATAGGGTCTTATAGGGAGCCACATGGTGATTTTAGTCCCCCTTTCCATCGATATCCATCTCGGCCAGCGGGTAGTGTCTCACCACATATATAGTCAGTTAGGACCAGGTCAGAGCTCAGGCCAACCTGGAGGTCGTCGATAGGATCGTTCTGTACAGGTAAGACATCCTACTCCTCATTGTACACAGTGCGGTAAGCCGCAAACTGGGCAGTGTAGACAGGGTTCAGGTGCATGTTATCATTGTGGGTAGACATGACATTTTATTAGTCGGTGCCCGAGGTTGAGCAGATGTGATCTAGCTCAGCCTTCAGGATCCATAACAACATCTTCACCCTCAGTCTGTGCCCCACGACCAAGACCACAGTCTACTCAGGTTCGTGGTAGAGGGAGGGGTGAAGGAGATACAGGTTGGAGCGGTGGTCAGAATCACTTTTATGCACTCACAAGACGACAGGATTCAGAGGCATCCCCTGATGTTGTTACAGGTATATTGACGATATCTTCTCAAGATGATTACGCATTATTAGACCCTGGCTCTACATTTTCATATATCACTCCATTCATTGCTAGTAAGATTGACATGAAATCTGAGTTTTTGCCACAACCAGTTGAGGTGTCTACACCGGTTGGCAATTCTATTTTAGCTAGTCGTGTCTACCGAGGTTGTACGGTGTTAATTAATGATCGTCCAACCTCCGCTGCTTTAGTTGAGTTGATTATGCTAGATTTTGATGTTATCATGGGTATGGATTGCTTGGCAGCTTGCTATGTTAGTATTGATTGTCGTGCAAAGATAGTCCGATTTTACTTTCCTGGTGAGCCAGTCCTTGAGTAGAAGGGTAATGCAGCCACACCTAAGGGTAAGTTTATTTCATACCTTAGGGCTCAGAAGTTGATTGATAAAGGTTGCATATACCATATGGTTAATGTACAAGATATTGATAAGGAGCCCATGACTCTTCAGTCAATTCCTATCGTGAATGAATTTCCAATGGTATTCCCTAATGATCTTCCAGGAATTCCCCAGAAAGGGAAATTGATTTTGCTATAGACTTGCTTCCTGATACGCAACCTATATGGATTGCTCCCTATAGAATGGCACCTGTAGAACTAAGGGAATTGAAGGAACAACTGAAGGACTTGCTCGATAAAGGCTTTATCAGGCCAAGTACTTCCCCATATGGTGCCCCAGTGCTCTTTGTTCGAAAGAAAGATGGATACTTGCGGATGTGTGTTGACTATAGACAACTAAATAAAGTCACTATGAAGAATAAATATCCTCTTCCACGGATTGATGACTTATTCGATCAGTTACAAGGTGCCAAATGCTTTTCCAAGATTGACTTATGGTCTAGTTACCATCAGTTGCGAGTCAGAGAAGTTGATATCCCAAAAACATCATTTAGGACGAGGTATGGCCATTTTGAGTTCCTTGTCATGTCTTTTGGGCTTATAAATGCCCCAGCAGCTTTTATGGATCTTATGAATCGGGTCTTCAAACCATTCTTGGATGAATTTGTGATTATGTTTATTGATGATATTCTTATATATTCACGGTCGGAAGCAGAGCATGCAGACCACTTGCGAGCTGTATTGCAGACTCTCCAAGATTGCAGGTTATATGCTAAATTATCTAAATGTGATTTTTGGCTTACCTCAGTAGCTTTTCTTGGTCATGTTATTACAAGTGAGGGTATTAAGGTTGATGGACAAAAGATTGAAGCAGCGATGACTTGGCCGAGCCCCTTTCATGCGACGGAGGTTCGTAGATTTTTAGGCTTAGCGGGGTATTACCGAAGGTTTGTGGAGGGATTCTCTTTTATTTCTGCACCACTGACAAATTTGACACATAAGGCAACGAAGTTTCAGTGACCGAGGCATGCGAGCAGAGCTTTCATGAACTAAAAAAAAGGCTTACCACTGCACCTGTCCTAAACTCTTCCAGATGGTAATGAGGGCTATGTTGTTTATTGTGATGCCTCAAAAATTGGCCTAGGTTGTGTTCTTATGCAGCATGGTAAGGTTATTGCATACGCCTCTAGACAGTTGCGGAAGCAAGAGCAGAATTATCCTACACACGATCACCAGAGCCTTTAGTATTTACTTAAGTAGAGGGATTTGAACCTATGACAAAGGAGATGGCTAGAATTATTAAAGGACTACGATATTGACATTTTATATCATCCCGGCAAAGCTAATGTTGTTGCTGATGCGCTTAAGCGGAAGTCCATGGGTAGTCTAAGTCATGTTGAAGCTGATAAGGCTAGAATTACGAAAGACATATGCCATCTAGTTAATTTGCAAGTACTCTTGGTAGATGCAGGAGGCGGAGGTGTTGTCGTTAAGAATATGGCAGAATCTTCCTTTGTGACTGAAGGTCAAAAGGCAGCAACATGAAGATCCTGAGCTTAGGAAATTGAGGGAAAATATTTCACAGTAGCAATACCCCTTGTTTGAGCTAACTGGAGATGGAGTCCTTAGTATTGGTGGAATGGCATGAAAAAAGATATTGCAGAGATGGTAGTTGAATGTCCAACTGTCAACAAGTTAAAGCAGAGCATCAGAGGCCTGGAGGCCTAACCCAGTATATTGAGCTTCCGTTATGGAAATGGGATATAATAAATATGGACTTCATCACTGGTTTGCCTCGCACTCCACGAAGGTTTGATTCCATTTGGGTAATTATCGATAGACTGACAAAATCTACTCATTTCTTGCCAGTTAGGACGACATATTCAGCTAAAGATTATGCTAGGCTTTACATTCAGGAGATTGTTCGCCTTCACGGAGTTCCATTATCTATTATCTCAGATCAAGGAGCTCAATTTACAGCACATTTTTGGAGATCATTTCAGAAAGGTCTAGGCACTCAGGTAAATCTTAGCACCGCTTTTCATCCACAAACCGATGGACAAGCAGAACGTACTATTCAGACGGTTGAGGATATGTTTACGTGCTTCTGTGTTGGATTTTTAAAGGAAGTTGGGATAAACATCTACCTCTTATCGAGTTCGCTTATAATAACAACTTTCAAGCTAGTATTCAGATGGCCCCTTACGAAGCACTATACGGGCGGAAGTGTAGGTCCCCAATCGGTTGGTTTGAGCTCGGGGAAGAAGATTTGCGAAGTCCGAATCTAGTCCAACAAGCGATTGAAAAGGTTAAGCTTATTAGAGATCGGCTTCATACAGCACAGTGTCAACAGAAGTCTTTATGCAGATGTTCGCCGATGGAACTTAGAGTTTCAGGTAGAAGATGGGTTTCCTGAAAGTATCGCCTATGAAGGGCATCATGCGATTCAGAAAGAAAGGGAAGCTTAGTCCTAGGTACGTTGGACCGTATAAGATTATTCGAAAGATCGGTATGGTGGCATACGAGCTTGATTTGCCTTCAGAATTGGAAGCAGTTCATCCTGTATTTCATGTTTCTATGTTGCGAAAGTGCATTGGAGATCCTTCACGTATTATGCCCATTGAAAATATTTGTATCGCTGAGGATTTATCTTATACAGAGGTACCAATAGCGATTTTAGATCAGAAAGTAAGAAAGCTTCAAATTAAAGATGTAGCTTCTGTGAAAGTGTTATGGAAAAATAACAGCGTCAAGGAAATGACTTGGGAAGCGGAAGAGGAAATGAGGAAGGAGTACCCCCAACTGTTTATAACTTAAGGTGAGTCACATTTCGATTAATGGCAATTATTTCTTCACAATGACTTAGTTATATTTTAAGTAGCTTGAAGGTGAAATTTATATGTCTTCTTACGATATAGCAATGCAAAGCTTAGTAGTTAAAATTTTCAGAATTTGACTTCAGGTTTGCGACTGTAACAAATATAGACTCGCAAATACAGTACTGTGAGAAATAAAAAAAAATGCAACCAAGGAATTGGTTAGATCCATTTGCGGGTGAATGTTCATAAGGGGGCGAGAATGTAAGATCCCGTACTTTTTCTCTAATCGTGCATAATATATGTGGCGTAATATGGCATGGTTATATGATATGTATATGACCTTGTATCGTACATTAAAGATTAAGATTGCAAGTAGGTGGAAATATCAAGGAACTAAACTAAAGTTTTAGGTCAGAGGGACCCCCCAAACAAATTTCATGATAAAAGAAATGGCTCGGGTAGAACTTCGCCCGTTTGAAAGGTTTAACTTGTCCCATACCTTGTGGATATGCCTATGAGTGTAAAACATGTTAAGAATAGTGTGTTATGAGGTATTATAATAGCACAGGGGTCGTATGTTAAATTTGGAAGTCAAGAAAATTAGTGAAACTAAAGTCGGCAAAAGTTATCAAAGTTTCTCTAATAATATTTTCTTAACTTTGGGTCAAATGTCTTGGATGTTTTCTCCCAATATACAAAGAGTTATAAGGCCTATTGCCCATTAAATCGAAGGCCGGCGAGTTTAGTTTTCAACGCATAAAACCCCATATCCAACCGACATCGGAGTAAAAAGTTATGAGGATTTTACTATGGACTGCCGGGGTAGAAATCCGGGTCGGGTAAAAAAATGTGGTATGTCGGCTTACTCAACGTTTTAAGCTATGAAAACATTTCATTTTACTTCCAAACCAGAAAGAAAAGCTTAAGAGAAGGTTCCTATGGAGTACTTGCATGATGAAGGTCAGTTTTCGACGATTTCTACCATTTAAAGATTGCCCCCGTGCCTAGAAACGTGATCTTTACACGTAGTAATCATTTTCCCCTTCTATTAGTTGCGTTTGGAGAAAGTTGTTGAAGATATAAATTTGTAGTTATTGGTGTTTCTTCAAGGTTTACACTTGGTTAACTAAGGTAATCATCTCGGGACTCTTTTATGATTGTTTTTATGAAGTTCTATGGACATTTCGTGAAGTTGAGGCCATTTGGAAATCTGCCAATTTAAGAATAATTATGAACTGTTTATAGGTGTGTACCAGCTGTGTATATATTGTGTTTGCGAATTTTAGGACGTAAGGAACAACTTTCGTTAAGAATCTACGGCCGTTCGAACGTTCATTGAAAAGGTATGTTAAGGCGAACCTACGTACCTCATTTTAGCACCAGTCCTGGGAAATTCCTAAAATTCCGAATGTGATATTTTGTTATTCTTTTGCTAGAAAGACCTTCAGTGAAAGGTATTGGGATCTCAGCTGAATTATTTTCATGATTCTGTTATTTTGATATTTCACTCGTTCGGATAAATAGAGTGTTCGACATCTACAGGTCATTTTATCAGTTTCCTTGATTATACGTCCGCACGTATGAATTCGTATTCTTCCTTGGGTGATGTGAATTAAAATGTCACGCGAGACCCTTACTACTTGTGACCAGCCCTCTTTCTCCACTAAGGTTATTACTAAAGAAAACTTTAAATTAGCTCACGACCTTTCAAAACTCTCAAATATAATTTAAATGTAAACTATTAGAAGATTTGATTTTTGAAATATTTCTTTTATAAATTATCTAGGAACCAAGTTAGGAACTAAGTAAATCACCTTAAACTTGTTATGAATATCAACAAGGTTAGGTTATCCTTCTAAAATTCGAGTTAACTTTTCAAGCTTATTTGGAAGAACATATCAAGTTCCATGAGATTGTTATATGTTATACGAAAGTTATTATAGAGTTATGAGAACAAGACTACAGATGGGCCAAGATTGGCAACATGACAACAATAACATATAGGTATTATAAATCCATGACATGACATGTTATGCATTCTACTCCCTCATAGGTGTTATAAATCCATGACATGACATGCTATGCATTCTACTCCCGAGCTATAATCGGGAGGTACGGGGCCTATTGCCTACATTTATACATATGAGACACATATGACCACAAATTGGTGAATTTGATGCCGGTTCGCTATCGGAAAGCACCACCATTGCTAGCATTTGGTTGGGTATGTCATGCATTTGCATCTTTATATATATATGTATTCACGACATACGATTATACGAGCATACCATGCATATTTAAGTAGTAGAGGGCTAAAGGTCAGCCATGGAAATTATTTGGGTTTCAGTTTCAGGTGGTATCTCCATTACCCTTTTACAATAAATGTTTATGATTTTATTTTTCGCTTTACATACCAGTACATTTTTATTCGTACTGACGTCCCTTTTCCTGGGGACGCTGCTTTTGTTTTGTGCGAGCAGGTATAGGCAGGGACTCTAATCGACCCACCCGCTAGGATTCAGGTTCAACTGTGAGTTGGTAAGTTCCATCTTATCCTGGGGCTATCAGAGGATGTCTACTTTTGTTGTACAGTTTGGGTATAGTCGTAGCCTTGTCCCGACAGTGCTTATGTCACTCATAGAGGCTATTGAGACGCAATATTCTGGGTATTCTTTTTTGTATGTTTCAACCTCCAGCCAATAGTGTTGGCATGTATCTATAGGTGTGTGTAAGTAGGTATGTTTTTGGTTGTGGCCTCGTCGGCTAGATAGTACATCTTTTTTTTTCGGTTTGTCTACCATTTTTTGTATGGTTATTCTTTTTGAGCTCATGACCTCTAGGTCCAGGCTTCACTTTTTTGAGGTTGTGCTGCCCAATCTTTTTGCCTCACAAGTTTGGTTTAGCTAGTATGTTTCAGTGGGTAACTCGATGTATTTGGGTATCGAGTGCCAGTTACGCCCCCTATTTCGGGGGGTGACAATAGACAAACTATGACTCTTCAACTTCGTTCCCTGATACCAAGTTTGTCACACCCCGAGCCTACACCCTGGACATGACTGGCACTCGAGAACCATTGTTGGCCCCAAGCGAACCCTTGGCCTGGCTTAATTCTTAGCGAAAGACTTACTCATATTAAAATCACATTTAAATCAACGATAACTTGGAATGTTTTAGAAGTAAACATTCAACTAGCCAAAGTGGCAATTCAAGTCTCAACATAAACAAAATGAGAAAATACTCATGCACTAATAATGTCTAACTATCTATGAAGCCTCTACTAACTGAGATGGACGTCAGGAAAGACCCACGACATCCTAATAATAAGTCTGAGATGATAAAGTAAACAACGGATCCTCCGAAAAGCAAGGAGGCTCACCAACAACTCTGAAGCTCGACTGGATCAAAAAAGTGCTGGATGTTGATCCTGGTTACCTATATCTGCATCATAAAATGATGCAGGCCAAATGGCGTCAGTACATTGAATGTACGAGCATGTGAGGGGAAATCCAAACAAGACATAAACTTGATCTAGAACTGAAAGAAACACTTACCTCATCTCTACTCAACTCATTTCAATATAAAACAGTAATAAATATGCAATATAAAGAAAAGCTTTAAACAGTAGATAAAAACTCAATGTATTTAAAATACAATAATATCTCAGTCGTATGTAAAAATACAAAATAGACTCTATTTGGGAGATTCTCTAACCGACAACTATCGTTA